AGGCTGGGCGGAAGTACACGTCCCTGAATTCACAGTTCACAGCTGTACAGTGAGCCCGTTATCAAGGGAGTGACCCAGGAACTGGCTGCAGAGAATGGAAACTATTGTTCCAAAGGCAGTTACACTGAACTTGAACTTGCTGTTAAGTGCACACGTGCACACACACACCCAAGCCCATCATAAAAGCCTATCAGCTCGCACAAATACCAACCAGAAGCATGTGTCCCTGGTACTTCCTCTAAGTGACGACAAGGTCTGAGGCTTGGGTCCATGAGCTGCTCTATCGCCCTTTTCTTCCTGTCAACCCTAGGCATCCTGAGACTAGCTTGTTTTCCTACGTTGCTCACAAGGATCACTTAGAAACAATATAGGCTTTCTCAGAAGTATTTTAAACATGATTCTGTTTTTCATGGCCTTATTGGCAATGGAGTATCATCTCTGGAGCTTAAATGATGCATTTCCAAGTCCTGAATTTTATTCCACTTGATGGGGTTTGAGAAGTCTGGTTACACTACAGAAGCAGGGGGAGGGCAGCAGGAATGGCATTTGGGACCTGAGATGCAGGAAGAAGCCCTGAGCCTGTGTTGGGAAGAAGGAAGAGGGAGGAGAACCTGAGCTACCTTAAACCCTTTGATAACCAGGTCATGTGACTCAGGGCAACCTTCCGTTACTGTTTTGTTAATTTATTTAAAAACAGGATGACTCAGTAAAAGGTTTTAGATGTAAGTCTCAAAGAAGTGAACTCCTCCATTTAGGACCTGGGGGAAGAGCAGGTCTTCACCGAAAAGCAGGGTGCCAAGAAGCCAGGGAGCATCCCTTTCCTCCTGGTAACTCCCCTTTCACTAAGAAACTGAGACAGTCAACGAAGGTGCTCCTTCCACAAGCAGCCCCGCCTGTGTGTGTGGCATTTCAACTACAATGCATCCGCCAGGAAAATGCTCCAGTTGATTTCCATTCAGGGCTGGATAACTTTATGGCCGCTAATTATATCTGCTGCCACACATGGAGAGAGGCACAGAAATAGCCTTTTGTCCTTTCATTAAAGGAACCTCTTCAAATATTAACTTAGCAATCTCCTCCACAACCCCCCAGAGGTAGTAGGCAGGTAGCGAAGGTTTCATATTCTGATTTTACAGAATAAGATACTGGGGATGCAGGGGAGGCTGGTGCTGTGGCTTTCTCCAGGCCAAGACTATACCTTCAAACACCAAGTGGATGATAAAGACTGGTGTTCTTGAAGTCACCCCTTTTATTCCACAAGACAGACCCCAAGTTTTGAGGGCAGGGTCTATGTGCAAGGCCTTGAGTCCTAGGAAGAATAGCGACGGACATGGTGTTGGAGCCCAACACATATTTCCTGTTGTGGAAAATGTCTTATCCATGCCCCCCTCTAAGTGACATAAACACAAAACGTTCGTCGTACGTGTAAGCCTAAGGATGAAAACAGGAAAGACACAGAGGTGGGTGAACCTCGCTCATAGCAGAGAAGGTAACCAGTGGAGTAGCTAAAATACTCCCCTCCCTAGGGAATGCTCCCAACACAAAGGAAGACAGACTTTTGAGATAACAGATATGCTTACAAGAAAAAAGACCCCCTTCAGAGCACAGGGAAGTGGGCTCAACTTGTGCCCAACTTGTGCCTTTGCCTCTTATTGCCACTGTGAGCCGAGTAAAGGCATCTTCAAGTTAAGTCTTTCATTTCCTCCACATGAAACGGAGATGAATGCCTATTCTACAGCACGAGTGTGATGAATGAAGACGGGAACTCATGGAAAACGCTCAGCACACAGGCCCCTGCTCAGGCGAGCACTCAAGAGAAGTCATCTGCGGCCTCACAGTAGGAACCTCCAGGGTTTCTTGTGGTCAACAAGGGAAAACATTTCGGTCCCCAAAAAGAAACAATACTTTGTCAGTCCTATTCCGTGATTGTGCTCTTTTAAAGCAGACACAGACAAAGCCAGGAGTGATGCCCCTTAAAAATTTAACTATATATCATATTCATTTATTATCAATCCACAGGATAATCTGATTGCTACATGAGCTCATAAAAGCTTTTCTCACCTTTACAAAATTAAAAAAAAAAAAAATGTGCCACAAGGATGTAATAACAACTGCTGATAAACAAGAAAAGGAATCTTAAAATTATAAATTTGCTGTAGAAAAGATAAAAAACAATTATATTTTATTTAGAATTTTACCTTGAATAAAATATTCCCCTGTATAAAAAATAAAAAAGCTTGCTCTGGTTAGAATTAGAGTATTTTTGTCTTCAAATCTGGGAATTTGCATAATATTTCCATGATAGTTTTTCCTTTGTACCGCGTGGCATTCAAGCATAGCAGATTAGAAGGATTTTTTTTAAAGCAGTCTTAAAATGGGACATCTGTAGAGAGATTCATTTCCTTCTTCTCCTCCGGATGTGGAATGGAAGCTTTGAGGGAAGGAAAAGTAGGAAAAGAGTGGGTAGAGCCAGGCTGATCTCCCAGGGCTTACTCGCCAGTTCAAGGACCAAAAGGGCAGTGGAGTGCTGGCTCGCTGCCTGCGGCACGGCCAGCAAGGTGAGTGCATGCCTCAAGAATGGACAGATAATGTGAACTAGCTGAGAATTTTTTATCTTGTGATATGCTACATAGCAAGCACTACGACATTGCAGTCTGCTGCTGCACCTATCTTAAAGCACTTACAGAAGGCCTTACTTGGATCTTGCTCTTATTTCACAGCACACTCAGCACCTCCCTTCCCTGCCCATTCCAGCTCTCTCCTATCCATCCCACCATTCCATCCCAC